TGCTATTCTTAGCCTATCATCCTTCACATTAGTTTAATGTAAGCTGATAGTTAGTCATGGAAATTGAACATTATGACATTTCTAATGAGGAAAAAGTTAAGGTAAGTGAAATTTTCAAAGTACATTCTGAGAAAAGTATGCTTCAAATAGAGTGTGGTCCTAAAAAATAAAGCCAAAGTGTGAAAATCTCCTTCTGAAAAAAAAACTTAACATGTGTACTTACTGAAGAATAAATAAAAGCTTTCAAAACACTGAAATTAATGGTCAATAAAGAGAGTTACAAAATATTCTATGGCAAAACCTTCGTTTGATCATAGATCTTATTTTCAGGCAAACCCACATTTTGGAAGTCCTGTTCCACAGGATTTGTAGAACCCAGTTTTTAAATTGCCAAGAAAAAGAGAAACAGCTAATGTAAGATTCATGATAACAGTCTTTGGATAAAGGTGGGGATTTTTTCTAGGGAGGGCAAATGCAGTTGACTTGTGATTGTATCAGCATGTGTATATGTAAAACCTGTTCAACAGAGAGAACAGTGGGCCAAGAGGAAGCTAAGCATGACACAGCATGAATTTTCAGGATGCATGATAGGCACAATTCTATTATTGAAAACTTTAAATTGTGTGTACAAATGACTACCCTCATGGTAGTTCATCCTTTAAGAAAATATTCAACCATCTCATTTCATTCTTATGGAATAACTTTACCTACCAAACTCAGAACTGTATTATTATATGCTGTAGTTAATTTAAAAACTGAAATATAGTTAGAAGTAAAATTTGTTTCAAATATGGTAAATTAGTTTTAAGCCCCACAAATACAGAAGCACATAAAAATTTTAGTAGGATTCTCTCCATATCACAAGATATACTCAAGATATTTAAAAATATATTCATACAAACATTTGTACATGACAGGTCACAGCAGTGATAATCATATTAAATTAAATGTGGTAATGCATCAAGTATTCACCAGCTAATGAATGGGCAAGTAAAAAGATACTGTCATGCAATGAAATAAGAAACTCCTGAAATAAATGGAATTCTACACACACATAACATGGATGACACTTGAAACCATAATGTTAAGTGAGAGAATACACATATTGTAGAATTCTCTTTCTCCTGAGTGAACAGAAAGGGTAACTTTATAGAGACATCAAGGTAATGAACAGCTTCCAAGGATGGAGAGTAGGAGGAAGTAGAGAGTAAATTTTAACATGCTAACAGTTTCTTAGTGAGGTGATCAAATGTTCTGGAATTAGGTGTCTATTAAGGATTATTACACATGATGGTGAATAATTGAAAAACACTGAATCATATGCATTAAAATAGAGCATATGATTTTCTAAATTATAACTAAGTAGTAACTTTTAAAGTAAAAAAGGCAAGTTTGGTCTTACACAAATGGAAATTATAGACTACTTTCCATGTGTTAGCACCTTTGTAATTGCCTTACTGAATCGACTTGTTTCACTCTCAAAATGATGCTACATATTTTATAGACGAGGAAGCTGAGGCACCTTGCTCAATGTCCACCTTGTTTTATTTTGTAGACCAAGCTGAGTTAGAAAAATAGGCAGCCGGGGTCCAAATGCAGGCTAACTGACAGATGCAATACCCTTTAAGAAGCTGGATCTACCCAAATTTCCCCAAAGTCCTGAGTTCTGACATCCTCCAATAGTAGGATGTCAGAACTCCTAGAGTCTAGTAGTAGTGAAAGGGTAGAAGACCCAGAAAAGTATAAAATCTTCCCATCAGTCCCTAAACGTACAATTCTGTCAATCCTTCAATTATACCATACACAATGCTTTGAAACTCCTTTGTTAGCAAACATTATACCAAGTTCAGTTCTCTTTACAGACCTTTAATTTCTCTACATTCTGCAAAATAAAAGTGCAGCTGGGATTATCATTTCACTGGCAAAAAAAATGGAATGTTTATGTTGTCTTCAGATTCATGTACTGAAATCCAAATCCCCAAAGTAATAGTATTAGGAAATTAGTTCATTACACCAAGAGAGCTCCCTTGGGAAGGGGATTGGTGCCCTCCAAAAGCTACAAGGCTAATTTGGCCCTACCACCATGTGGCATTATACTAAAAGGATGACCCAAAGGTGAACAAGTAAGCAGGTTTTCCTGTGATTTGGATATGGCCAGTACCTTGACCTTGGTCTCCGCAGTCTCAGAAGCAGGGGAATCAGTTTTTGGCTGTTCAGAAGCGATCCTGTCTAAGGTCTTCCATGACTGCACCCCCAAAACTCTTTCCTTATGGGTAAAACTACCATGTCCTTTACCAAAATATTCTCAAAATAGTTGAATTAGTTTATTTGCCATCTAATGCAACATGAAAATTACCTATATTTTGTTGGCTCAGATACATGGATTCAGAAGAAGTTCTGCCTGCCTCCCCAGTGTAATCTCACTCGTAGCTTGGCTGTTCAGTGGTCTCTCAACACAAATCTAAGTAGAGCCATTGTAGGGGCCTGCTTGCACAGTCGGGTCACTGTGGCACGGATTTCAGAAAGGGACACTCTTCTTCCCTAATCCAACTACACAACTCATTCCTTGCTTCAGAACTTTACATGAAAACATGTTATCACAATCCATCTGAACAGAAGAAGGCTAATTCCCTCTTATTGGTCTCAGATAGTGTAAGTTGTACCACTCATTCCTTCTCTTCACGATTAGAACATCCATTTTCTTATTGTTACCACAAGACTCTCTCAAGAACAGTCATCTTTGGGAATTAGCTTCAACTAAACAAAGACACCTTATCCAGTGTCATGTCCCTTTTCCCAGAGGCAAGCCACAACCAAGAACTGTAAATACAGAAATATAAAAGCCAACCCCTTGGGTTCAAGGATTTTTCTCACACCAAAGATAGGATCCCCTAGAACATTATCCCATAAACTGGCTCAAAGGCTGTTTCTTATAAAATATGATCCCTGTCATGCTTTTCCACTTGGAATTTAAATGTGACATTTGATATTATGTCTGAATATTGGAGGTAGAATTTAGAGTAGATAATGACCTTATATGACTCAGCATGTTCTACTCATTTTTGCTTCATGCCAGAGGTGCTGGCCCCTCCTTCTCCTCCCCTTTTTAGGGTAAACACACCATGTTGTGCCTTAGGTCATTCTTTTCAGAGGCAACTATAAGCAAATATCCACTCTTTTCTTAGTCAAGGGACTCTGAAATGTGACAGGGTGACTATGGGAAGAGTCTCTGAAGTCCAGATTTTCCCAGGCATAGGATATAAATTTTGTTTGAGATAATAAAAAGTTCATTGTGGAAGGTTGTCTACTCAGACCCCTCCAATGATTATGACAATAATTTCTTTTAACCTGTTAGATGACTCTGTTTTTCCAGTTGGGTGAAAACATAGGCTAGGGATGAATCTTAATTACTTTCTAATTACTAAGCATACACTGACTATGGGCACTCCTTTGTACATCCAAGAAAGAAACCTCCCTTCCACACTACTAATCATTGTAACATTATCATTGATATCTCTGCCTGCTTACAGCACTATTACTCTGACAATATGAGAAGCCACAGAACTTCTAGCTCAGAACTCTCTTGGAACAAGTACAAACATCAGTTTGGGAAATTTGAAACACTACATTAGGGGTATGGGGAAGCTATTATAGATATTACATATTGATATAAATATTATCTATAATACATAAATGTACTAGTGTGTTGATATGCATATATAAAGAAAAGGGAAGAGAAAATTGCTAATAGCATACAGTAAATGCTCAATAAATTAAATATTTAAATTTAAATTGCATATTAATAAACCAAAGGAGTTCCTCTCAAGATATGCTAGTGAACAAAAGCTCTCTCTTGTCAGCTTTGAAAAACTAAAAGCATAACATTTTATCTTGATGAGACTTTCTCAATCTGGAATGTTGAAACAGAAAATTCAGGCTCCAGACTCATTCCCAGCTTCACGGGTACAAAGTTATGTACAAGTTAACAGAGAATTAGAATCAGAAAGCAAGGAACTGTACCCATTTTCTCTTCATGACAGAGCAGACAGAAGTATACATCCCCAGGCTGTTAGGAGCACAGTTAGTGTGACCCCACAGAGGCCACAGATGTGAAACAGCAAGCTTCCAACAGACACACACTGCAAGGTGGCAGCAACTCTACCGAGACTCCAACAATAGCCATCCCCAGACACTGAAAAACCTAAGCATCTTTCTTCTGTTAGTACATGATAACTGACCAAGCCAGCTGTTAATTGATAGCACTACAGAACACTGTTCACAAGGAGTGACGTCTACACCATAGACTCAACAGGAAAGTAAAATGGGCTGAGGAGGACAATGACAACAAGAATGCTAAAACCATGACCTTCAGGACTAGCTAACTCCAGAGACAAGTGTCCTATAAAAACAATTTATTACTGTGTCTAAGTATTTTGGACATAAATTTACAGTACTCATTGAAGTCCTGTGTTACTTAAACCATAGGGAATAGGAACAGGAAGGAAAGGGAAAGAAAACAAAGACAGAGCAAGGAAGGAAAGAGAAAAGAATAGGAAAAAAGTGAACTCTTAAAATGTGGTCCCTATTTATTTTAAGTCTGGACTGTAGACCACATTCCAAAAGACAATCTGTTTTACAATGCATAACTGAAGCATACCACTACTTTTGAAATCCACTGGGCAGAACACATGGGGCAGAGCACACAGTCATGGGAGATTTAAAGAAGGGTTGAGTTATTTGTAAACATAAGGTACAAGAAATCTAGTTCAAAGGAACAGATTCCCGGCATAGGCGATGGGAGAAAAGCGCTGAGATCTTTCTTAGGCAGAGCTTTCATGAGCTAGTCTTTCTACTTTATACAGGCATACCGGGATTGTTGCAAAATGCCTCGGTTCTCTACAAGCACATCAGCTTCAAGAGAAAACTTTGCGAGAAGTTTTTTCCAAACCTGTGTCTTAACTTTTTTCTTTTTCTAGAAAGGAGGAAATCTGTCCACTCACCTGTATCAAAGCCCACGCTTGGCATGATGTCCACTGTCCCATGAAAGGCGCCGGCCCATGCTGAGGTAGCAGTGGTGACGGTAGTCGGATCTGTCTTTGTGATGTCACACTGGGGAGCAGGAATCCTGGCAGTACGCACTGATGGCATTAGCAGGGGCCCGTATGCGGGATCCAGGGCAGAACCAGCAGTTGGGTGGTGGTGGTGGTGATGGTGGCGGTGGTGCATGTGGGCGTGAGGGTGGTGATGCCGCATGTACACGTCATGCATGTGGCTGTAGGACGGGCTCACCTGAGATGCCAGAGGATAGTGCCAGGACTCGGACGCAGTAGGGGGTGGGGCAGGGCCAGTCTGATGCAGACCGTGTCCTGGCCAAGAATTGGGATCTGCTGTTGCAAAGGTGCCATGGGGTGCAGTAACTTGGAAGTCAGGATGAACACCCCCCAAACAGGGCGCTGGAGGGGGCTGGTAAGAGCTGGTCCAAAAGGAAGCTGGGAAATTACTCCGCTGGCTTGAGAGAGCTGAGCTGTCTGAGAAGACAGAAAACACGTTATTTACTTAAGATACAGTTCTGGGATAGATTTGCCTTTGCTTGTCCAGTTATGTTTTACAAACAAGTGGATTACCGCTCACTTTTTCTCTCTGCAAAGAGGAATAAGTTGATACCGTGGTTAGCCTCTAGGAGCCCATGGCAGGGAAATGGAGCAGGGTTGAAAATGCTGTGTGAGCCCCTGCATTTGCTTGCTGAGCTTCCTCTGTCCCAGTCTGAGCAAAGGTTTTTGCTTCAGTTTAAGGACTGAAAAGCTTCGTTTCCTGTTGGGACCCTGTGGCTCCTAGTTCTAAGCAGACATCATCGCTGTATACTTCTTTGGCAAAGAACATTTGTTCCACAGATGAGGTGTGTGTAGAATGGAAATATTTTCACTAACTTCTTTTAAATGTCAACATAATTTTTATTTAAACATAACATTTCTAGGTCCAAAGTAAGAAATGGCAGTAAAATCACGTGTAATTGTCCCCACAAAACCATTGATTATAAAGAATTATAAAGAATATATTTTATCTTTTTACTTTCTGTGGAAACCTAGGAATCGTGTGGTCTAGGAAATACCAATGGTTAACGTTTAATGAGAGTAGTCAAATGTCCAACACCAGCCCAAAGGCTGCACATGAGCTTTTAGAATTCTCACTCTAGTCCCATTAAAAAACAGAGACAGGCCAGAAGTCTAAGATGTTGGCTAGCACAAGCCTACCCTTCAAAACCAGATACCCTAGAAAGAGTGGTAAACCTCATAATGGCCAGTAGAGGGAACAATTGTGACTGAAACTCGATCACCTGGATTTAGAGACACTGGAGAATTGATAATCAGGTTGTGTTAGGAAACTGTGGAAAACTATAGTGCACATTTGTAAACAAGGAAGGAAGGAGCATCCTCCTCCATCAGTTCCCTCAATTCACTGTCTCTGTCATTTCAGTGTTTCCAAATGACCTTCTGGGGCCAGACTAGAGAAAGTCAAAGATGTATAGACACCTGCCGCTGATAATCACATCAGGGGGTGCACAAGGGAGGAAGGCATGCAAATGTTTTCAAGAGTAAGCCCACAAAATGAGCCGGAAAAGTGATAACCATGTCAAATTAGAATAGCTGAGGAGGGGTTAGGCCTAGGAAGGGGTGAGATGGAATTGCAGACAGAATACTAGCATATGTACACAATCTATACAGGTGCACCAAACACAATGCCACCAGCATCAGTAGCATTTAAGGGGTAAAATTCAATAGGAGAAATTTGGTGAAACAGATTGAGAGAGAGAGAGAGAGAGAGAGAGAGAGAGAGAGAGAGAGAATGGAGATTTGAAGAACTCAGAAGAGTGGCCTTCCTGGTCAGAGGATTGAAATGGACTTTACCAGAAGAAGCCTCCCAAGGCTCGTGGAAAGGTTTTAATATAAGGCAATGACAAGGTCAAATGTGTATTAAGAAAGGTCTCTGCCCAACCTATAGTCAGCGTCTTGTAACAACAATGTGTGTCTATAGAAGTCCTGCCCTGGGAATCTTCCTTCACTTTCATTACAGACATGTTTCTTCTCATAACCATAAGTGGACTTCTTGATCTCTTTGTCACTTTCTTCCCTTAAAAATAATAAAGCACTTTAATTCATACATTTGAAATTATCTTGCTCAATATGTTTTCATTCTTCCAAAGAGTCTATTCTGCTATAGTTGCATATAAGATTGCAACTAGCATTGCTTATCCATATGCATTTTTGATGTTTTTATGCCAGTTTCAACATAAAAAAAATCTAGATTTTTCCATTGAGCAAAGGATAACCTATAAGGTGCTTATTGTTAGAAATATTTAATCTAACATTTGTCATTTCTTACACTCCCAGGACATGAACATATTTTTCTTGCTTCAATATAAATAATTTACCACATGTGTCATGAGGTTCACAAAAGCAGTCCTTCTCTGTCATATTCTGACATCTTCTCTAAGTTCCCTAATGAGTTTGATATTATGAGAGCATGAACATCCATTGTCTCCCCTTCAGATCTGCACCAGTGTTACCATGATTCACCCTCTCACCCTGGACCAGGGACCCACACTTTCATAGTCATCTTTTTCTCTCATTACTATGGATCTCAGATCCCATGAAGAAACCTTTGGAATGATGCTCTTCAAGAGGGAAAGGATAGAAACTGTTGCTGAAGCCTTCATTTATTCCCAGTAAGCTCTTCAATGAATGAGGGTTTCATGGCAATCACCACTGATTAAAAGACAGCACTTGCAAACCAGCCTTATGGACATTGTAGGGCAGCTTGCCACCATCAATCTTCCACTTTACTCTTACACCTCCCATCTTTGTTACCATTCTGCTCATAATCTGTATCTCCTGGTACAACCAGAACCTATATCTGAAAACTAACAATCCCTGATCCACAAAGGTGTTCTAGGGACAAAATTTCCTCTTATTGAACCTCCTGAAGAAAATGTCCAAAGTACAGAAATAATATTCCACTTATCTGGATATCTACCTTCCTCTTGATCCTATCAAAACAGAATCACTCTTATTTTTATAGCTGCATAAACATTGTATATATGCACGCACAAATTCTTATAGCAGACACACTCCTTACCAAAGTATTGCATGTCCTACTTATGAAGCACTATATCGTGATGAGTGAATGCATTATCACTGAAAGAAGAAATCTAATTTTTTAAGGCACTCCATAAAAATGGAACCACTCTTTAGAATTCCCCAGGGGAAAATAAAATTAAAAGCATTTAATATTTTCCCAATCTGTATAGGGTCTTCTCCTGAGATTAATAGAAAGTTTGTAGGGATCTATGCTGCCCTTTTCAACAAACACTGCTGCATTTTACAAGTAAGTGAAACTATTGAATGGAAAATATGTTCATGAAGAAATCTATACTTCAGGATCATCATTTGGTATCTTGCTTGTTTAAAAAAAAAATGTGACACAAAGAAACAGATGCTACACTATGCTTTGTGCTGGGGGACCAGCACGCTTATTTCATATGTATGTAAATTTTTTTCATTATGTGACTCTTCAACTACGAGTGCTTAATCACAGCCACATTGGTTGAATAAGAAAGCAGACGAAAAGCTGCAGGAGCTGTTTCCATGCCATGGTACCTTTAAGGTTAGTGGAAACGATTCCGAACTGCATAGCAATAAGACTCAATTGGGATTCTGGGGTCATCATTATTCAACATTCATGCAATACTAACTTTCAGATGGTGCCAGGACTGATAGTCTCCTACATAAAAATAATAATAAAAAACCCTAAAATATGATTTTTGTTGCATTCACTTTTAGGAAGACATAACACATTTTTATTTCTCAAAATGAAAGACAAGGCAAAATTGATGTGCTGTCCAATTTCATCTTTCCAAAGCAGGACAGTAATCTCACCAACTGACTTTTAAGGAAAAAACTTGTTTCATCGAGAAGCAGAGGAGTGGAACATAGATCACAGAGGCCAAGTACTCCTTTTAGAATTTCGTAATACTGTGGTACTTTTTATAGCAACCCTACACATCAAAAAGAAAAGGAAAAAGAAAAAGCAAGAACAAAAACTGTGAAACAGTTTAGGTAGGATTCATTTTAATTTTTTTTCAGATAATAAAAAACAATATTAAATGGAAAATAAGACAGCGAAATGCTATCATATGTCATCTTTAATAATCTCTGGCTGACACATTCTTAAAGTAAATACATATGAAAAATATTAGTGTCCAACACAACATTTTCTTATAAAATTCACAATAAAAATATTTAGAGCATCGGGGGCTCATGGTTACAATTTCAGTGCTCAGGGGGCCTAAACAGGCCGGAGGAGTCTGAACATTTACCGACAAACCTGGGTTGAGAGTGTCTACCAGGTGCGACAGACCTAGGAGAAAGACCCTGCCTCAGAGAGAAGGAAGAGAAAGAAAGAGGAGAAGAAGAAAAAAAAGAGCAAGAATAATATTTCAGCTCAATACTTAACCTAAAGGGTTCTTGATACCTTTGAAGGCCCACTTCCTGGTTCTTCTGATTCCTATGAAAACCAACTGTTAGGTCAGAAAAGGACTAAAAGGCATTTCTGTCTTTTCTGTCATTCAGAAATTATGCATTGCCATGGGATCCAAAGTTTGTCCTTCAGTTACTTTGTAAGGCCTCATGACTGCAAGGAGAGCTAACCCTTGGAGGCACTACTGTGAGGTGAGTCAGGCCTCACTTTCCTCCCTCTTGCTTTTCTAACTTCCTGGAAGCTGCAGCCTCCAGGGCCTCCCTGAGAGTCTGCTCAGAACCTTCATTCCCTCAGGACATAGCCATTCTTTCTCTTCCTCCTCAGCTCTGCTTACCCTGGACTATTCTTTCTGAGAGGTTGTTCCCACATGGCTGAATTCCCAAGCAGGCCCTAGCTGAATCAGATTCATTTATTTTGAAGGTGCAAGAAAAATCAATGGCAGTAACTGCCATTGAGCACCATTTTTAATTCAGAGGCCTACTCTGCTACGTCATACCTGACCACTGCCCTTGTTCACACTACACACACACACACACACACACACACACACACACACACACACACTCCACACATAGAAAAACTAACAAAAATGTACACACACACACACACACACACACACACACACACACACACACACACACACGTTGATTCACACTCTCTGTAAAACAAAGCATTAAGTGCATCTGAAAGTGATGTTTTCAGTCTAGATGACAGATGGGAATGGGGGCTGGGTAATCAGATGTATTTTGTTTTCTTAACTGAAGTGCGTAGTGAGCTGCGCTACCACTCACAAGATATTCTACCAAAACAAGGTACAAAAGCTTTCTTCACCTTAACTCTTTCTAGCAGATGCACATGTCAAAACACATTTCCTAATCCTATCAAGAACACACGAATTCAACTATAATCACTATTCTCTTGGCCAATGCACTCTCTTTGTCTAAAACTTTCCTATGGAAATATATTGCTCAAACATAATTTAGTTGGAAGTTCATATGTAGCACATCAGTAGGATTATAATCACTCCATGCTACAAGCCAGAGTGTTTGATGTAGGTGGGGTGACCAGCAGCTTCTTTCAAAGCTATCCCTAATGATTCCACTGACATTATCAATAGTCTTGAATCCCTACTACATTGAAGACGTTGCTTCATGCTAAAAATAGGAGCATCCAGAAAACAAAGTTTCTAGATAATGACTCAACATTGCTTTTCCATCTACAAGTAAGTGGAAATAGTTAAGGAAAGAAAAGCACAGAGACTAAGTCAGCTCAAGCTCTGCATGAAAATCATTCATATATTCTCTGACACATTTTTGCAATAACCCTTAAATATGAATAGTCGAGAGTGAACACATGCCATTGTTGGAGAAGCTGACCTCACGGGGATTTTAAGTTGTTGCTCCAATACCGCTTTGTAAAACATCAAGGAATAATAAGGTGACAACCAGAATCCATAATGAGTAGGATCCAAACATTGAATTAATTAATATTATGTTAATTAATATTAGTTATGACCATTTCTCTCCATAGGGTATGTGACTCTCATTCATTATACCTCCTCTTTAAGAAGGTTTCTATATCTTTAATAACATTTTGAGGCTTTCCTATGAATCCTACTCAAGTCTTGTGTGTGGATTTGAAAGAAATTTGTAGCTGAAAGCAACAATGGCACTACGTAGTTCACAAATGAAAAATAAATGCATTTTTTGTCCAATCTTGTATCAATAACTACTAGATCCTATGCCTTAATTTTAAATAATAAAACAGCAATAAGTATGCATATCTATAACCTGAGCATTGTAATGCAGACAGAAAGATTACTGGGACCTGCTGGCTGCCAGCCCAACTCCAGGTTTAGACAGTCATCCTGTCATTATGGAATAAGGCAAAACTTGATAGATCAGGGGACCCAAGGTCTACCTTTAACCTCCACATGTAGGTGCATAGGCTCTTGAACCAGCAGACACATGTTCACACTTGCCAGAGAAACATATAACACACAGAAGAAGAAATGAAGGGAGGGAGGGAGGGAAAAGGGAATGGAGGAAACTATACCTGAAGACTTCATATATCTGATTTAAAAACTGCTCTGTGAAGACTGTTTTTGTTGTTATTGTTTTAAAGCTTTATTTATTTATCATGGATACAGTACATGCCAGAAGAGGGCACCAGATCTCATTAAAGATGGTTGTGAGCCACCATGTGGTTGCTAGGAATTGAACCCAGGATCTCTGGAAGAACAGTCAGTTCTCCTAACCCCTGAGCCATCTCTCCAGCCCCAGTGAAGACTGTTTTTTAATATTTGATACATGATATGAACTTTGTTCATATAATTCCATCCCTTAATCACTGAATTATATTTATCTTAAGAGTGTTCCTGTAGAAAAGTGTAATCTTGAATATTGAGGGAATTGATGTAAGATAACTAAATACAATATTTTAGATTTGGTAGGTGAAGAGACTAAAAGACAGGAGACACTGGGTGTCTCCACATACATAAGCATGTTTGCTTCTCTTTGAACATGCTAAGCTCCACCCATCTTCAGGGACTTTGCTCTGGATATTCCTTCTGTGTAGATCATCTTTTACAGACATCTTCACAGGAGGAATGCCCTCATTTCCTTCAGGTCTGTGTTCAGATGTAACTGTCTTTTTCAAGGTTTCTATCACCACTTTCAGTAAAGTAACGCCTTGTGTGTCACTCATTGTATCCTTGTGTATTACTTGTCTCTATTACTAAAACAGTAACTTCATGAATATAAAGGCCAGTACCTTGAAAATTACATAGTAGAAGCTTAATAAACATTTATGGTAATTTCAGCTAGTAAGTCAGCATACATGTGAGAAGGCCAAATTTAAGATGATATCAAGACAAGGCTAGCAATAGCTATTAAAACATGGCTGCCATTCTCCCATTCTGTACAAAAGGCAGATAGCTAACCAAAGCTTTCCTCTGGTTGTCCTAATTTCTACACAGAACAGATGAATTGTTTAAGAGTCATTGCACACACATTTAAAGTCTTCTGGCTTTGGTACTATAGATGGCCATATGGGCCAGGTAATTTGGCATTCTACTTTCTCCTTTCCAGACAAGACCATCACAGGACTACATATGGCAGTATGCTGAAAGAAGGAGCTATGGTATCATTAGTCTCCTGGAATAAATTATGTTGTTGTGATAAATTATTGATATATCAAATTGTTTACATAAAACCAACTGATTCACAGAGATTATCTTCAAATTATTCACATAATTTCTCATGAGCTATCACCGTGAACTCTCAAGATCTCTCTGCTCCTATACAAAGCTCACAGAACATACTTGCCAGTTCAGCAGTAGTCATGTGGCTGACCTCTAGCAAGCCTCTGTTCTTTGAGTTTATATTCCATTACTCCCTTTCAATGCCTGGTTCATACTGAATACACTTGCTAGAATGGAAAAGAAATAAGGAAGAGAAAAAAAGAAGGAAGTAAAGGAAGAGGAAGAGGAAAAGTAGAAGAAAGGAGGGGTAGTAGGAATTAAGGCAGAAGGGACAGAGTGACAAGATAAAACAAGGGGAGGAAGAAGAAGAGTGTATCTGACAACTGAGGTCCTCTCGGGCAACAGCAGAACCATGGCTATGACAATGATGTGAGCCACTACTCATGATCACGATCACGAGACTCTACTGCAGGTAGACAGTCTTGCCTGTCACAGGTACTGCTCAGGACAGTTGTTACTGGTGATTGTCTCCACCTTCCCACTCTATCGAGTCCTCACAAAGACACCAAGTCACTGATTCCCAAACCTGAACCTGGTTCTCACTCTCTGGCAGGGCTGGGTGAACACAAATTAACCCACACCAGTTTCTCATCTCACAGGGCTTGGATGAGGGGCCAGAACATTGTTTTCTAAAAGGTTCTCTCCTGAGACCCACAGTTTACAATTTTACTAGGCACTTCTTGGAGGTGACTTTGAAACAAAGTATTTGTACATGCCACTTTTCTCTGAAGCTGTCTTTAGAGCAAGCACTACTTTTCCTCTCGTCAGCCACCATTGCTAACCCCGTCACTCACCCACTGACTTTTTAAAACTAGAACAAAATGTAAGCGAATCACTGTGCTACCCACAAAGAAGGAAATAAAGGAGAGCTCTTTCAATCCGAAGCATTTTTTTTTTTACTGAGGTAATACAGCAGCGGAAGTCATCAGGATAGTACCTGAGAGAAGACAGTATCCTGTAAATGGTTCACAAGTCATTGGGAAGAAAGACACAGAGAACACAGGCAGCTTTCCAAGTCCGTGTTCCAGGGTCAGAATTAGGACTCAGCTACATCACCACGTCACGCCTAGCAGAGTGAGCAAGAATACATTTTTTTTAGAAGCCGATTCGGGCACGCCTATTATTTAGAGATCCACACTGGGCCACAGGGCCTTCACCAATGGAGCTCCGAGCTCAGTCTGGCCACTCTAAACTGGGGCCACTTGTATCACGGCTTTTTCCATGAGGAATTTAAGGGGTGTGAGTGCATCCTTTCCAACCCTGCATTCCACATGTGACAAAACTGATCCAGCTGTTTGTCTGAAAGAAATTCCTTGCTGTCCTTAAAAATTAAAAAGCAAGTGAATATCCGTTCTCCAGGGGCAAGCCTCCAGCTGGAGCCTGGTAGAGGCAGTTGCGAAACAGCGTGCTCCAAAGGGCATCTGCTCTCGAATTCTTACCTCGCCATAGGGGGGTTAGCCCCATCTTGCTTTTTGAAATGGCAGATTCTGGATGCAAGGTGCTGGCTTGGCCCAAAGCTCTTGAGAAGTGTTCATCCACTACTGACCCAATGTCTCCCTGGAAATAAGTGAAAAGGACACAGCGAGAGTTAAGGTACTCCATCTCGGCAGGCTGGTCTTTCTCCTCCTCCTCCTCCTCATCCTCCTCCTCCTCCTCCTCCTCTTGTTTGCTGGGAAGCGTGACTTCCAGAGAGTCCTGCATCTTGCTGTATACCGCTAACTTCTTCTGGGATAGAATAAACAAAACATAGTATCAAAGACAGTTTGTGGAAAAGCATTAACTTGTTAACTTTTCACTTTAAAAAGAAAAGAATCTAAATATTAACATATGTTTGCAAACTGATTTTTCATCATCTGCTGTATTCCATCTTTTCCCTCCCCAAACCAGTTGCTTCCCTCCCACACTAAGAAAAAAGTCTGTTATTCCAAATTTGGCAAAGAAACGGGACTGTTATCAAATTGTATAATTTTCAGCATATCAGATTTTTCTTTCTTTCTTGTTTATTTATTTATTTATTTTGCTTTTGTTTTAAACCCAGCTATGCTAAATGAATGACTTTAAAATCCAGATTTTTTATGCTCAATTTTTATTTACATTTAAAAATGTAATGTACAGTGACGTTGTACTTTAGGACAGTGGAGGAGAGATGGAGAACTCACTGTCCAGGAGAGGGTGGAGAAGAAAAAAACACTTTTCATAAATGAAATAAACTAAAATAAAAACAGGAATGCACCATCTTATAAAAGGATTTGGCAGATGTGCTGAGCTCATTTCTCAAAAATCAAACTGAAATGACAGGGTAAGTCTGTGTGAAGATCCATTTTACACGGACCATGTTTTTCATATGTTCCGCTCACCACTATTATCATAGAGAGGGAGAAGGAGTTTACTGTGGCTTACAACAAATAAAACAAAATACTAGCAAAGATTACCTCTTCAAACAAAAATGAGCAGAGTTTGATATCTTAAAATATTTCAGCATACAGTCATACCTACAGTAATCAATAATATTCATTATCCAAGAATCTTTCCTCGTATATGACCTGAGTTGATTTTTTACACTCCTATAACATGGTTAGTGTTGCTGTGTGTATCTTAAACTAAGGAACAGAGAAGTTAAGTGAGTTGCCAGCCGTCACAAAGTCTATGACTGACAAAACAGCACACAGGGAAGTAGGCAGGTGTGCAGCCATATTAGGAGGTAAGGAAGCAATATCTACTCTCGGAAGAAAAGTCATCAAGTAATTATTATCAACATTGTTTGACTGAATAGAATTTTGGTAGCCAATTGTTATTTATCTCACACCTGCTTTTCAACCTTTCTAAACATTTTCAGTGAACGTGTATGACTTAAGGATTACCAAAAACTTCACTGTGAATGATACATAAGAATCATTCCTGGTGACCACATAAACATTCCATACAAATAGCATAACAGCAAAATTCAATTTCTTATCAAATCATTTTTCTTATTTCAGGAGAAATTATGCATGCTGACAAAATGAGCATGAATAGCAACAACAGATAATTCCAGAATCCTCAATAGTTTTGCATATGTTAGCAACATATAACTCAGATTTTATGCTTCTAATGTAATTACTAGTTTGGAAACTAATAACCACCAATTGTAAGTGCATCTTCAATTAATCATTTTCTTCTGGCAACAAATATATTGATTTTTTTCCAGGTGGTTTCTGAAATGGGCATATGATGAAGGGCTGATTATTATTTGGGAAATATTAATTATAAATATATGTGGCATTTTAATGTAAAATTTGCATCAGTGTGGTTAGTATTTTCTTATGAATAGACAATTTATTCCATGTGACTACATGTGTCTTATTGATGAATAGGTGGTTATAATTCTGTCTGCTTATATTTCTTATGATCTGGTTTTGTTCAAATTTGACTTCAAAAGTAAAACTACATTACGATAGGTTACGCAGAATGCCAGGATTTTGTTCAATGACTTCTAGTTTTAAATTTCATTATAAAATTAAACAAATGCTATGATTTACTGGTCAAATCACAATGTTATTTTTTCTGGATGCATGCATGTTTACTAAAAGCCAGCATGGTTATAGCTTTGCATAACTCTGTCCTGGCTATTCTGGTTTATGTGAAAGACCACTTTTATACAGAAAGGAAACTAAAACTGATCCACAGAGAGCAGTTTCTCTGTTCACAGTGTTCACTGTCCCCCATGAAACTGATTTACCTTTCCTGTCACTGCCCTGCACAGGCTTACTTTGTGAATGTGTGCTTTGCACATAGCTCTTCAATTCCTTTATTCTTAAAATTATGGTAATTCGCCAAATAAAGGAAAGGAATTGTTTCCCTGCAAGTTACCAGCAATTACCTCTTACATGAAATAAATTCAATACAAGCAAAATATTTTCAAAAACGTGAAACATAATTGAAAATAAAAGCCTTTGTAATAAGTGATAGCAATCATAAACCATCTCAAGATCCACTGCTGGATTTAAACTATAGATTTTCAATCTAAGGTTGCACAGCTTTGCAAATGCTGCATAATTCAGGGTTTTTTTCCAACCAACTATGGAATGGCTACCTACAAATAAATTAATATTTAAAATCTCAATTTTAAAATTAATACTTATCAATGGGCAATGAGGTCAGAAGTAAGCTGAGTCTTATATCAAAATAACCATCATTAGTCTAATTTGTAAAAATCATTCTTTTGTCAGTGTTCTCACTAATCAATTCTCTGAATTTTTATATTTCATACATAAACAAAATATCTCTTCTTGTATAACTATGCATGACAAAATATCCCTTTTTGACATTGTGGATACCCGTAGTTCAATCAAAAGTGAGTCTATGATCTACAAACAAAAGTACATAAAAATGTTTATGATTCTACTTGTACTCTCCCCCCATATTTTGCTCAAACTTTCATACTCTGTAGTGAAACTATGTAAATATTTACATTTCCAACATATATTTAGCCTCAAGATATTCCTGATTAATGTAAGTTTCAAAATGTATATATGGTCTGATAATTGCGAAAACTGCCAAGTTTGAATTTGCATAGCGGTTGTAACTTAAATGATAGCAGGAAGGAAACAGAAACACATCATTTAAACCTCGTGTGGCTTACATGCTACTAGCATCATACCACCTAACTTCTCACACTTGAGCACCAACCACTTTCTGACACCCATGGTCTGTACCTCTTCGTAGAACACACTCACTCTAGCTATATTCTATTTGCACTCAGTCTTTAAACTTGCCTTCTATTTCTCCTAGTGATATGTGATTTTGTTGGGAAAATATACATCATAAGGTTGACATGAAATCTCAAAGTGTCAGAACATAGATTTACATAATCAAGAACAAAATGTCATCTAGTTGGTATATTTTTCTTAAAAACACAACCTCTTTCTATAGTGTATCTAAACATCTGATAAGTGTCTGTACTCTTCTTCTATGAGATTGTGAAGAATAGTTAAGATGAGTTGTGGCAGGAGAGATAGCTTGGTGAGTAAACACTTGCCAACCAAGCATGAAGAGCCTAGTTTGGATCCTGGGTACCTGAGTAAAAGCTGGGTGGGCTTAGTAACGAGCCTATAATCCCAGCACCAGGGAAGCAGTTGCAGATCTTTGGAGCAAGCTGGCTGGGCTAGAGCAGCCAGACACCAAACATGTGAGCCCCAGTTCATGCAATAGACCCTGTCTCAACAGTTAAGGTGGGGAATAATGGAGGAAGACACTCAAATTCAACCTCTAACCTACACACCCATTTGTGCATGCATACAAGTGCCCACTTACACATACATGAATCAACAATCATTCGAACACACACATTTGTATCACACACACACACACACACACACACACACACACTACAAGTTGATTGAGATAATACATGAGTACATGTTTCATCGCCACTGCACATGGTGAAACAATGAAGGGTTAATCACCAGAATGGAGGCCAGCTCACAACAGAGGAAGCTAGAAAAGGGAATGATAGTTGGCTTAGGCAGTGCAAACCTTAGTGATCACCTCAGAGCCTGCCATCAGGCACCACAGAAACAAACTTCAACGGGAATGTGCAGGGGAGGGATTTTGTCTGACAGGAGAAAGACTTCCAGGTCAGGAGCCAAATACCACTAACTCCCCAAGGCTTAAGCCGCAAAATGCCAAGTGCTTATTGTGCATGTGTGGAAAGTTTCTTCCTAAGGAAACAAAACCATTTTAATGAATCACCAAAATCACTGCATATTTAGATAAAGGTTCTGTAAAGGAAACAAAAGTTCTACTGACTAGCTCCTTTAAATGAAATGACTGTGTAGGAAGGAAGGAAAAAAGAAAGGAAGAAAGGAAGAAAGGGAAAGGTGAGAATCTGTAGAAAGAACCACTGGTTTACTTTGAAAGAATTAAGTCCAGAAAACCAACCCATTAAACTTTTATCCTTTTTTAAAAAGTTTACTTGTAAAACAGATATTTAAAAATATCTCAGAGATTTGTGGGTACATCAGGAAATGTGTGCTTCAATTGGCTTAAGGAAAATATGCCACAGAACTTCTCTATTTATCAAAATGTTCAACCAACATTTATTCATTTGTGTGCATCTAAGGGTGTGTGTGTGTGTGTGTGTGTGTGTGTGTGTGTGTGTGTATTCATGAATATGTGCTATAGTTTGTATGTAGAGCTCAGAGGACATCTTGTAGGAGTTGGTGGATGTATAACATGAATGGAATTTAGGTCATGAGGCTTGGAAGTAAGTACCTTTAGATGCTAAGCCATCTTATGTTCCATCTATCTTCTGTTTCTCACATATGCAAATATTTCCCACAGTGATTACTCACCATTTACAAATGCAAAAACTTCTTTCCATAGCTAGGATCACCTGACTAGTAACGGTCATGGGATTTGAATCAATTTCTATGTGTCTATAAAGCTTATGCTGAGAAAACATGCCAGTGTGCATGAGTCTCTATAAGATATTTATTTTGATTGAAGAAACAAATAGAAGCCAACAATGTGGTATCACATGTTGACTAGGATAGTCTATATCACATGCTGACTAGTATAGACTACAACATTTAGAAACTGAAATTAGAAACATCAACAAGCTGGGGCACTTGCCTAGAAGTCATGAAGCCCTAGGTTTGGTCCCTGATACCACAGAGAAAAAATAGTTTTAGCTTAAAAATGGGAACATATCAGAGATAAAAGCTACTAAGTAATACAATGACTAT